ACATCTAACTCTAAAGTAAACGCTAACCCTAACATAAACGAACTTTAAAAATTTAATCGTTAGTGACATAAAATCACGTGTCCGGAAAAATTTTGTGGGTGCTGGAGGGGAAATCCCGCTTTAGACGATTCCCAAAAAGAGAAATGAACTGTGTTACACGAATTTGAAAAACCCCTGACTGTAATATGTATTTAATACAGTAATAGCAACTATTTTACACTGCATTATTGAGAAAAACAAAACTTCAATGTATTAAGCGGCTTATTTAATATGTAAAAGAATTGAGAAGTTTAGATTTTGTACTTTATTGAAGTTGATAATTTAGGAATATTTATTTTTAATGTACTACTTAGTATTCCGCAAGACCAAATCAAATTTTGAATTTGATTCAAATATTTGATTCAAATTCAAAATTTGATTTGCTTTTGCGGAGTACTAGTACTGTACTACTAGTTTGCACCGTACCATAAATGACGCCGGATATGCGTTAAATATGCGGATATCCGGATAAGCGGATAACGGTTCCAACCTCTACGTGTACAATAATAAATTCGTTATAAATAATATCATGCATTTATAGTTTACACAAATAGAAAATTGTAGTCCAAAGCGGAGAAAATTTACCGATTGTTCAATCAATTATAAATAATTAGCAGAATTTCTCTTCCTATATTTATTATGTTATTTTAGAAACTTTCATAATAATAATTTTTTTTAGAAGTAAATGATATTTGAATGCATTACTTTCTTTTATGTCCAGTCAATGTCATAAAGAGTTAATTGTAACTAGAAAATGTGGCATCAACTTTTTAACCCGGGGCTTCAATCAAATCAACCTTCTATCCCGATGTTTCAATTAAATCAACCTTCTATCCCGATGTTTCAATTAAATCAACCTTCTAACCCGATGCTTCAATTAAATCAACCTTCTATCCCGATTCTTCAATTAAATCAACCTTCTAACCTGATGCTTCGATTAAATCAACTTTCTAACCCGATGCTTCAATTAAATCAACCTTCTAACCCGGTGCTTCAATTAAATCAACCTTCTAACCCGATGCTTCGATTAAATCAACCGACAGTTAATAAGCAAAAGAATAATCCAATACAATGGTTAGAAGATGCACTACGTCAGGGAGTTGTCAAAAGGTTCAGTTACCATCAATTTACTTTTGTCAAAAAATTGGGAAGTGGTGGGTTTGGTGATGTCTACCAAGCAAAGTGGAACAATCAGACTATCGCTATTAAAATGTTGAAAGATTTTCATAATAACGGGACATTGTACAATGCTTATGAAGATTTGGTTACAGAAATAAAAGTTGATTTTTTTTGTGATGGTTTCAATTTTGATGTGCTAAAAGCTAAGCTATTCATCAGTATATTATCTTTCCAACAATAGCTGAAGTTTATGTTGAAGACTAATAACTGTCAAAATATATTGCATTTTTATGGAATAACTAAAAGTAAACTTAAGCCGATATTTTGTACTGTTTTCAGAAAAATAATATGACTTACGATACTTTTATTTTTATTTTATTTAGATCCTTCTTCCAATGCATTTTATCTTGTTCTCGAATATGCAGATTCTGGTAATTTGCGCAGATACTTAAAAAAAAACTTTTCAAAAATGAGAGGAAGAGATAAACTTCGAATGGCCCAAGAAATTGCAAATGGAATACGTTCACTACACAAGCATTCTATAGTTCATCGTGATTTGGTGTGTTTGCTAATTCTTGATATATGTTAATATTTAATATTTGCAAAGATTAAACTTATTATATACTCTTAGCATTCAGGAAATATTCTTGTTCATAAAGGCAGTATCAAAATAACTGATTTCGGTATCGCAAAAAACCTTCATGATCCAACAAGATCGGTATGTTTATTTTCCAGACTTTCTTTTTTGCATCCTAAAACCCTGAGTTTTTCACTAGTGAAAAAAATTCGATGTGCTCCGCACATAAAATTTTATTGCGCACAAAAAAAAGATTGTGCGCAAAGCACGTATAACTTATTAGCAATATATTTAAATAATGTGCGCTATATGATTAATAAATTAAAAGCGCACATTATATTTAATAACATGTGCGGCATGCGAACAATAAATTTAAAATTATGTGCGTAATGCACATAATTTTGATTCTGAATTTTTTTCCCCGTTCTCCGCCCTACTTATTATAAAATATTGAACTTTTAATATTGGATTGTTCCAGAAATCTTCAAAATTATGTTTTGGAGAATACGCGTACACTGATCCACAATATTTGATAATGGATAGGAATTATTCACGCGATAAGAAATCGGACATATACAGTCTCGGTGTTCTACTATGGGAATTATCAAGTGGAAAAATACCTTTTGCTGGTTATCAACAATTAGATGTTCTAAAGTGGGTCACTCGAGGAGTACGGGAAAAGACAGTATCAGGTGTTCCCCAAGACTATGACAAAGTTTACCGTGAATGTTGGAATCACATGCCTTCACAACGTCCGGATATTAATTCAATTTGTAACCGACTTTCATCGATTAAATGGCGTTAATATTTACACGGTTTTTTTATCCAATAAATTTTTAATATTCAACTATTCTTCAGAATTTACAATTTTTGAACTTCCATCTATTCGTATTTTCTTGCAGTGATAGATTTATCTATTACTATTCTTCGAGAACTTTTTTATTTTGCGGTGTCATTAAATTTGTAAGAATTAAAGTTATTTTTACACGAATTTGGATAAATTTAAATTTGTAAGAATTAAAGTTGTTTTTTACACAAATTTGGATAAATTTAAATTTGTAAGAATTAAAGTTAAAGTTGGTTTTACACGTATTTGGATAAATTTAAATTTGTAAGAATTAAAGTTGTTTTATATGAATTTGGATAAATTTAACTTCATTATAGATATGAGTGGTAAACAACAAATTTAACTATTTATCAGTTATGAATTTATGATTTTTTAATCTTTATGGAATTTATTTGGTCAATGAAATTTAAAGTTTGATGAATCATAACCCTGCATGTGGAATTTGATCTTTATAAATGTGCAAAAGTGAATTTATGTAAATTTATTATATTAGTATAGTGTTAAAATATATGCAGTTGTGATGGAAACCAGAAACATATAGCAAGAATGTAAAATATAGGATGTTAATTAATCTTCTCAATAACATAGTTTCAATAACCTTAGATGTATATGCAATTCTTTTTCATTTAGGCTTCATTGATAAATATATTAAAACTGTTTTTATATATAGACTTTTGCATTACACTGAAATTATAAAATTATAATAAGACCCCTTCTTGTGTTCTTGTCAGATATTTTTTATTAAAAGAATAAAAATTATCTAATGTTTAAAGCAATTAAATATTTTTTGTAAATTTTAATGATTATTTTATTAAAAACTTTTATAGTCAAATATGGGCTAATATATTATTAAGTGACAGTATCAAAACTGTTATTAAACAGGCTTATATTTTAAGTAAGCAATAAACAAAATTGCTTTATTTAAAAAAACAATAATACTAATCAAATACAATAATAAAAATAGAGGTGTGGCAACTTAGTGAAGTAGTTAGGTTGTCATCCTTAAGTGGTACATCTAAAGTTTAATTCTCACTGATAGTAAAAATTAAATTCTTTTGTATAATAGCAACTCTCTTGTATGTTAGGAAGAAAATCCTGTTATATCTGGTCATACCTTATTAGAAAGAATGTCTATTGCACTATTGAGCTGATCCAATAGAGATTCTAGAGCATTTGTATAATATACAAGTTATATAAAAGGAATACAAAATCAGTAAGGTGGTATAAATATATAATAAGTTTTTAGAATTATATTAATCTGTAAACAATATTAGAAAAACCTGCTTAGCAAGACTTGAGTAGAGATATAATATAGGCTTTTTATAGTGATTACTAGAATAGGCCCCACTTAAAGCTGGTAAACTGAACAAGGCAAGGGTACTAACAAGTTATTCTACTAATCAAGCTATCAAATCGACCAAAAAAAAGAACTGGTGTCTCTTTTAGACTATCTGAATTGGTAATCTGGAGAGATCAGCTAGAGAATATTAAAAAGAAAAGTACCAAAATATCTTAAAGAAAGAGTACTGGAGTTTGGGTAAACTCTACAAAGGCTAGATAATTAGATGCTATAATCTGCTTATAAAGATTTAGAACCTATTTAGCTAATATATCTGCAGAAAGAATTGACAATATAATCTGTCTGTAAATATATCAAATCTATCTAGTAATACCTATCTAAAAAAGACTAGATAATATAGTAATAATGGATACCAAACTGCTCTAGCAGATAATGATCTCAAAGATAAATTGGTTAAATATGCTGGTAGTTTTATAGATAGTTCACAATAATCTTGGGCTGTGAAATAACTAATATACTTTATGATTCTGGTAAGATTAAATAGATTGGTATAGAAAACCAGATCAGAGGATTTAAATAGGAGATTCACAGACAGATATTAGATATGGCATATGAAAAGTAACTATAGATAGAAATAAATATAGCAAACCCCTTAAATAAACAATAACTAAAGTTGTATATGTGTTCATATATATTCTTGTCAAAATATACTTGTCTAGAACTTCTTTAAAAAGGACACTATATAATTCTACAATCTAATAAAAGCAATAAGCCAAAGAGGCTAACCTTGATTACAAAAAAATAATAAAAATAAAAAATAATAAAATAAAAATAATAAAATAAAATAAAATAAAAAATAGATGTAAACAAACAATTGCTATTTAAAGAAGCATTTTATTTTAAAAAAAATATCTATATACACCTTTTACTTTAGAATACTTGATAAACAGAATATCATTGTTCTTAATAAATCATTTTTATCAAATATTTCAGCATCTTGATATGGTTTCTAATACAACAGGAAGAGAGTAAAAAAAAATATAATTAAAAAGCATGAAAAAAATAAAACATAAGCTTAAAGTTTTAAATAAAAAGGTTGTTGTTATAGACTTGCTAATAGGTTATAGCACAGAAGTT